ATTAACGGCCACCGTACGCCATGGAATGAAAATGCAGCATTACAAAATTTATTAGGAAATCTGTGTAAGTTACACGGGCCCTGATAATAATAATGATAATAAAATAATAATAATAATAATAATAATAATAATAATAATAATAATAATAATAATAATAAGAAGAAGAAGAAGAAGAAGAAGAAGAAGAAGAAGAAGAAGAAGAAGAAGAAGAAGAAGAAGAAGAAGAATGAATTGCAAAGACAAAATGTGCCTCCTTATTAATATGGCAGTCCCAGCAGAATTCACAGTATCTTTGAAGATCTTCAAAAAACTATCAAAATATAAGGAACTGAAATCTTTGGTTAACAGAACTCTCTTATCAAATGACAACAATCGGACTTCAAGAAACCTCGAAACTACAGAAGCATGGATGATGTACTGTGTCAAAGAACATGAAAGGAATAAGAAACTTTATTCAGTAATAATGGAAGCCAACAAATTCAAAAGGGAAATTCCAAGCGGGTGAAGAAGTGCAAATAAACCATAATGCACCTGCTGCAGCGACAGATAACCTAAAAAAAAAAAAAGAAAAGGCCAAAGCAAATGCAATGACCCAAATGCAAAAACGATAGCAAGATAATCCTCTTCTTTGTAAATAAATGTTTTATAGTACAGGTTTAAAAGCCAAATTTGAAGGTTTATTTTTGCTGCCCAGGTTCAATGCTTGCTAACTAGAAAGTGGCAAGCAAACATACTGAAAAACGATGGCAAGATAAGCCTCTTAATGGCAAATAATATGCCCCTACAAAAGAAGCTGATATAGATAAACCCCATACACATTGAATGTTTTATAGTACAGGGTTAAAAGCTGAAATTGAAGGTTTATTTTTGCTGCTCAGGTTCAATCCTTGTTAACTAGAAAATGGCAAGCTAACTTACTGAAAAACGATGGCAAGATAAGCCTCTTCCTGGTAAATAATCTGCCCTTACAAAAGAAGCTGATGTAGATTAACCCCATACACAGTGAGCGTTTTATAGTACAGGTTTAAAATCTGAAATTGAATGTTTATTTTTGCTGCACAGGTCCAATGCTTGCTAACTAGAAAAATGGCAAGCAAACATACTGAAAAAATGTGATGACTTTAAATCAGATTCTCTGGTGAATATCTAGAAAAAATTGACCATCTTGTAACAGGTTGCACGTTATTAGCATTCATCGAATATAAAATTTGAAATGATTGTGTGATTTAATATCTACACTTGAAAATATGCAACTTTTACGGAAAGGAAACTAAAAGATACTGGTATGAACATCCCCTACACCTAGTTAATGTCATAAGGCCCTTTTTTATAGGATTTTACAATCCATACAGGCAGACCAGTCAAATCTAATCGCACAGTCATCGTGGTCAAAGACAACAAAAACAGAATCTGCCTTCTTATGGTTATGCCAGTGCTTGCATATTGGAATATAATTCTGGAGATCTTTCAAAATACAAAAATCTTCAAATAGAAATCTAAAACATGTGGCACATGAGGACGTCAGTAATTCCAGTTGTAGTTGGAGTCCTCGGATTGATTGGAAATGTCCCGATAGACGTATTGAAGGGATACTTTGTATCCCATTACTTAAAGGAATGTAAAACATTTTACTTACAAGTACGGCTCACACATTGCGAAGAGCCTTATTTATGTAAAATGTGTGTCATCTTAGGGCTTATTTTTACAAAAATGCTCAGTGTAAAAATTCATGAAGCCATTTCTGACCTCAAAATTCATGAAGCCATTTCTGATCTTGAGACCCAGAAGGAAATGTATATTCAACAGTAATCAATAGAAATAATAATAATAATAATAATAATAATAATAATAATAATAATAATAATAACACAAAAATGTTTATAAACAATATATAATGTCTGGAAATAAATACAATTTTACAATCAAATCTCCTGAAAAATGGAAACTACGAAAGGATTAGCGAATATTTAATTCACTCGCTCGGTGAGTGAATGTGAATATATATATATATATATATATATATATATATATATATATATATATATATATATATATAATTGAATATGAGAGACAAGGTGCTTTTAATTAGTTTTTTTTAATTAATAAAAACAAAAACCCAACACTTAATATTAACTTTGAACATGGACACATTATATAGACAGTGTTTTGAAAAATGAAAATATTTTATAAAACATACATACAACAAACCATTTCTTATTTAACAGTTAAAATATTTAATCATTGAAAATGTCTAAATGTATAGCCGAAAACGCTCGAATAAAAAGAACATTTGGACTGTTTTTATATAATTTATCATCCGAAAAGAAAAAAAAATTATTAGATTGCTTGAGAAATTGTATAAAAACTAAATAAAAGCACCTTGTCTGCCGTATTGAATAAAATGTGCATGAAAGAAGGATTGCTGCCTAAATACACACACACACACACACACACACACACACACACACACACACACATATATATATATATATATATATAT